TACTCACACATTTGAAAAGCTCTGTGAAGTCTTAGGGTGAGATACTGTGGAAGCATATGGCATTGGTATTGTACAGTTCATATAATAGGGGGCTTTGCAGGGAAGCTCTGTGCTCTGCAGACTAGCCTGACAGCCCCAACAGTGCTTCATGGTATTGGTCAGAAAACGGGGCTTCTTTTCCCTTCAGAGAGAAGTTCAATTTTGGTGAAAAAATCAAAATGGAAAGTGGTGCTTCCTGGAGTTGTAGATTGGCTGCCATACACTCCTTTTTCTTCTAGGCTAGCCACCTTGATCAGACTACATCTCCCATGCTGCACCCCTCATCCTGAGAACAGTCTGTTGCATCATGGGAATCAGTGGCAGTAGTGTATTAATGGGAGATGTGGCTTGTCTGCTTCCAGGGGGCATCCTGACAGGATAGCTCAGAGTCCAGGTTCAGTTTTTAGTCACTCATTTGACTATAAAAATCAGAACTTTCCATGGAGAGTAGATGCTATTTTGTGGAAATGTGATTAGTTGAAAATCCAATTTCTTTTTTGTAATGGTTTTGATGGAAAACTTTTGTCCAATCTGAGCCCTACCCCAGAGCCGTCTCATTGTGCCCTATGGCATGTCTCTGTGCAGTTACTCGGATGCCACGTTGTGGAAAGCCTTCCTAGGGCTCCGCAACCAGGGCAACCAGAAAAACGAGAAGGTGCAAGAGCGGAGCATCAAACGCCTCATCCCCCACACCCAGTTCAACGAATACTCTTACGACTATGACATTGCCGTGCTGGAGCTACAGAGTCCTGTCACCTTCACCACCACCGTCCGGCCTATCTGCCTGCCTGATTCCACCCATGACTTCCCTGCTGGCAAGGAAATCTGGGTGACTGGGTGGGGGGCCACCATAGAAGGAGGTGAGGGGGTCCTCTGGGAAGGGGGGTCATCTGGGAAGGGGTGTAGGAGTTGGGTGCCTATGGGTGCACTGGATGCCACTTGGCTGATCAGAGGGTAGCCCAAGCAGGGAGGGGGAAAACCCTACAAGGGCTTGGTAGATCCTTTTGGAAGCTCCTGCAACCCATAGGCCACTCTTGTGGGGGCCCTGTGCTCAGAGTGCAGGCATTTCCAGTGACACTGAGACAGGATGACATGGGACTGTGCAGAGGGAGTCCTGTGTCTGCTGCCGGACTCTCCCCCCTCAGTCTGTGCCACACATGCTGCCCCAGCCTTTGTAGCTGGTTTCAGATCCCACGAGGAGCCTGGGACACAGCTGTGGGAGAGGTTGAAGTGTAACTGCAGCTGGCTGTCAGTGGTGGCATTGAGTCAGAAGGGAAGTAGGGGGTGTCTGTGGGGCACTGCTGGGTTCTGATGGCTGGAGTTTGGGATGGAAAGGGGAATGTGGGTCTGGCTTTATGGGAGGGTGTGAAGGAAGCCTTTTGGGGAGGAGAGCAATTCTCACTCACAATTGTGTGCACACTGAGGATGAGGGGTTGGGGCAGGCGCTCTCCATCCCAGACTCTTTAGACATGGAGGGCTCTCCTGGCCTTAATGCTGCCCTCCCTGCTGGTCTTTGCAGGTCCTGGTGCCACAATCCTGCAGAAGGCAGAAATTCGAGTGATTAACCAGACCCAGTGCAACATACTGCTCACCGACCAGATAACGTCACGCATGCTGTGTGGAGGAGTCTTGACCGGGGGTACTGATGCCTGCCAGGTAGGGGCCTCTGGGATACCAGGTTGTGCTAAAACCCCAGGTGTGGGGGTTAGGCTGGGTCCAGCTTGGTGGCTTACTTCATATCTCCATAAGCCTTGGTGCACTCTGGGTTCATAGGGGCAGAAGGACATCTCTCTCCTTAGTGGAGATTTTATTTCCTTAGTGTTAATCAGAGGGAATCGCTGGTGTTTTGCTTTAACACTTGGTACTTTGGACGGGGTATGTGGGAACAGAGATGCTATTTGGCTTTGGATCCAGATTTCACAACATGAGTCTCCACCATGTGCTTGTCGGTTCCAATCCAGCCCCAGCTCCTTAGTGCTGGAAAGCTGTTGCTGTTTGCCCATCTCTCCTCGCCTACCTGCCCAGAACCCAAGTCTCTGCCTGCTACAGCCAAGAGTTCCCCCAGGCTAGAGCCAAGAGAGTGTTCATTGCTACTGCCTGGGCTGCGTGCAGGTTATGTTCCGGGTTACCAATTCATTGCAATTCACCAGCACAAACGTCACTGATTCCCATTCCCTAAACACCTGCAAAGTCACAAAGAGAAGAGAAATCAAAAGGGAAAGTTAAGGAGCTTTAAAGATACCACCATCACCCTAGCCAACCTTGGAAATACTCATGTGAAAACTTCCGTAGTGTGGAGTGAAAGTCAGCTACCCTCAGACCTCCTACCCCCCACCCCTAAACATACTTGGGTGGAACGCCTAGAGACATTCCACATCCCTTCCCAAATTCCTTGGCTGGGTAAATGACTCTACATGAGCATGTGGATATGCTGTTACACAGAGGGTGAGAATGAGGTGGTAGGGCAAAGAGCAAAGCCCTTCAACTCAAAGGAAATATGTTACTGTTCCCCCTAACAAGCCCTCATGTTGCCTTGCAGCCAGGACAGAATCCTGCCTCATGGCATGCCAGGAAGTAGGGCGGTGTTGTACGTGTGGGGAACAGAGTGACCGGTCATAAGTACTTCCGATGAGAAGGTGTTAGTGTGAATGACCATTGGTCTCTTCCACCTGGCCGGTTCGAAGGCTTGGGAGAGGGGCGTGAGCAATCCTTCCCCATATTCATGCCTTGTTCTTCAGGGAGCTGTCCCTAATGTGAAACTATGTGTTGGTCAGTGATCCCAAGGTGGGAGCTCTAACCTGTTCTGTTTCCATGCAGGGGGACTCAGGTGGGCCGTTAGTTAGCGTGGAGAAAAACAACAGGCTGTTTCTGGCTGGCGTGGTCAGCTGGGGAGACGGCTGCGCTCAACGGAACAAGCCTGGAGTATATACACGAGTCTCCAAGCTGCGGGACTGGATCAGGCAGCAGACCGGGATTTAGGAGGGCTCCAGTGAGGGGCTCTAGAGACCAATGGACATGCAAGGCAGCCGGCACCTCTCCAGTTCGGCTCTGGGTCTCTTTCAAGCCAGCAGTTGAAGATGCTCCCAGCTGATGTGAAGTGGATGAGTGGTTTTCTTCCTTCTCCCATCGTACTGGACCAGTGAGGCACCTGGCCGGTTTGAAGGCTTGGGAGAAAGGAGTGAGCAACTTGAATCCTTCGCCATATTCATGCCTCCTCTTCAGAGAGCTGTCTTAGTGAACCTAAGGGAGACCTAGGAATCTCACCTCCTCCCTGTCTCACCTCAGCATGAACTGTGAAGGACAGGCATTCTGGAGGGAGTAGGAAAAACCCCTGCTCATCGTACCCCAAAGAGTAGGGTTGGAGACAGCCACAGTGTGGTGCTGCACAAAAGACATGCTGGTCTGTATTTAAAGTAGGTCTGTATAAGTGTGCGTGTGCATGCGTGTGTGTGTTTCCAGAGGCAGAGTCAGAACTGTCTGACACCTGGCAGGTGACGTCACAGCTGAATCCTTTTTCTCCCTCCCTCAAATTGAGACGCTTGACAGACACAAGAAATTTCAATCTCCCATCTGCTCTAGATGGCCTGTTGGGTCTCGACACCTGCTGAGATGGCATGGGAGGGATATGCACCTTCCTCTCCGAAAAGGAGTACTTCTTAATCCTCCTAGACCTGCTTGGCAGCCCCCTGGTTCTGGCTATAGAGTTGTCAACTTTCTTGACTGGATGCTGTTTCCGCAAATGGCACCTAGTTGAAAGAATTGGCAACCCTAGGTTCGGATGGGCTTGTTTTTTAAACTGTGTCTAATTCTTTAGTTTCAGGAGCAGGTTTAATTGTTGAGGACCCCAATTCTCCCTGATGATAATGCTGCCTTGAGCTGGTTAGCTGTCGGGAGTGGTTGCCTGTTGTTGAATTATACCTGAGTGTCAGCAACTGACCCCGCTTGAGGACCACTAGACAGACCCAGCATGGGAGGGGATGGATCTAGATCCTGCAGCTCCTTTTGAGGCAGGCTGTGCCTAAAGCCTAAATTGGTGATTTGGCCCTCCAATTTCAGCCCGCTGCTCAGATCCACACAAGGCACTGCTTTCTGGGACTTGTCCCTCTGTGAGGTGGCTGACTCAGCTCCACAAGGAGCAGCGCACTCTAGCATCTGGGGGTTGCATAGCAGAACTCCCTGTGGGCCAGTTGCTATTAAGCTGTGGTCTGAGCTCACCCCATTCCCCTGTTCTCCCTGCTTTTCACAAGAATAGCTTAAATGTAGCCACTGGAGAATGTGTGTGTGTGTGTGTGAGAGAGAGAGATCGAGATAGAGATCCATCTTCTGGCCTGTTTACAGGCCAGATTGGCATTGCCACAATGTGCCTTAACTGTAAGAAGTGAATTGTAACCTCGCTAACTGTCTGAAACCCCATTGCCCTATCTGCGGGACGTCAGTCCTTTAGCTGGCTGTTCTTTAGTCCTTGCGAGAGGCTGCATCCTTCGGTGACCCGGGAGATCATGGAGATGAAAGGTCCCATGTAGCAGTTGCTCTTCAGGTTATCCAAAGTTGGCCCCATGCAGCATTCTGAACATGGAGTCAACCCTGTAGCCCTTATGTTGACCAGTGGACATACTGGGTGATGCAGGTTCTAGCATGAAACCCGGTACCGGTAGTGCCTGTGAGCAGGGCATTGGCAGGGTATGGACGGGGGGCTCCAATAGGCTTTCTGACTCATGACTGCAAGCCCTGCTTTCTGTGTGTGTAGTGTAATGTAATAGAAGCTGTTCTGTGATTGGCTAGCATTGCTGTGGGGACTGGGTGGGTGTAGGTGCCTATGAATGGCCCCCTATGCATGTGTGCTATTTCCCTCTTTCTGCCAGTTCCAGGCCCCAATCCTGGAGCCCAGGGCACCCTGTTGGGACTGGGAGGGGCTGATAAGAATGTAAAAGCTCAGTTGCTTGTTTGAACAGCTTGGCGCAACCCTAAAGAGAGTGTTGCCATTTTAGGAAATGCCTCTGCCTGCCTTTGGCCCTCGAGACAAGCTGGGCTGAGGGAAGGAAAGGTTTTTTAATCTTGGGTTTTTTGTTTGTTGTTGTTGTTGGTTTTTTAAAAGAATGTTGCAAAATTATTTCAAATATGCTGATTGATCCATTTTTTCCTTCTGTATATACTGTGCCCTGTGATAGTGTTGTACATATGTCAGAGTGAAGCTGAGCAGGGGCAGCCTTTTTTGTCGTCTCTTCCTTCTGCACTTCTTTGTTGTAAAGTCATTTTTGTAAAGATCCAAATGAAATGGCAAGGCTTGAAGAAAATCCATATTAAACTGGGGATTTTTGTATGACTGAATGTTTCCTTCATTGATGCCCCCAGAGATCTCAAGGTTCTTTGTAAGCTTCATTTGTCTGATCTCAAGGCCCTCTGCAAGGGAGGGATTGTTGTGCCTGTGTCAAAGCGGAAGAAACCAAAGCACAGAACAGTGACTTGACCCAAGGTTGTGCAGGAAATGGGTGGCAGAATTTCAGACCTAACCTGATAATGGGTCCTAGAAAGGAAGCATGGTACAGTGATTGGGGTATTGAATGGAGACCTGGGTCAAGTCTCTCCTCTGCTACAAATTTTCTGTGTCCTTGGGCAAGTCACTTAATCTCTCTGTCCCAGTTTCCCAACTGCAAAATGGGATTGCAGCTCTGTCCTATATCAGAGGGTATGTCTACACTATAGTGTTATTTCGAAATAACGCGTCTACACACAAAATGCATTTTGAAATAGCGTTTTGCTATTTTGAAATAGCACGTCCACACTGAGTGGACACTGAATCACATTTAAGGCCGAATGGAATCAGGTCAGGAGTTACTTTGTGTGGCTGCTGCCTGAGGCTATCTGAGGCCTCAGCTTTCCCTGCTTGCTTGCCTACCTCGATGAGGGGGACAGCAAAGCATTTTGTCTCTGCATGCTCTGGTTGCCCTCACTGGTTGCAGACACCACAGCACTCTGCAACATGAAGCTGGAGCTGCCTGTGGGCACTCTGGTGCTTCTCTTCGACGTGTTGCTGCGAACCTGGCTGCACTTTCTGCAGGCTGCCATCCGGGAGGTCCATTGGGGGGCTGTCAGTATCCAGGAGGCCCTGCCGGGAGAGCTTCCACCCTGAGGAGCACGAACAGTCTCCCTGGTCTGCCCCACTGGGGGCTTGAGCCTCATTCCTCCCTCACATCCTTCCACTTATCTCCCCCCCCCCCCCCACCTCTTTACACCTTCTTGATGTAAAATAAAATACGCGTTTTTTCATAAACACAAACTTTCTTTATTTAACAGAACGGGGCGGGGGAATGAAACTCTGAGACTGGGGAAAGGAGGCAGGACAGGGGTAGAGGGAGGATGGGAGAGGGGAGGGGGAAACCTGGGAGGAGGGAGCTGGAAGGGGGAAGCTCAGGGCTCAAGGTTGGGGGTCTTGCTGAACCAACTTAATTTTCATGCAAACCTGCTCCTGGGTTCGTATGTGGCCTTTGGTGGCCAGGTTGGCAGCTATCCTGCCATAGACAACCGCATTCCTCCGTCTAGTGCAGAGATGACGAATGTTGGGGGCATCCCCCCCAAACCTGAATAAAATTCATGATCTCCACCCTAGTCCAGGAAGGCACCTGCCTTCTCCGGGCCCTGGCACGCTCCTGGGAGCTGGCAGACTGTGCGGAACTTCCTTGCACAGAGCAAAATGCAGTCGTTCATGCCCACTGACAAGATAACTTTCAGAAGCTCGTGCTCCATTTTGCTGCATGATCCCTCTTTTGAAAAGCGTTTTCAGCAAGACCAGTCGTGTTTATCACTGTGGTCGTTAGAAAACTGACTAGCTGCGTATAAAATTCCCCATTTCAGTTTTGCTTGTGAGACGCTTTTCCACACAGTGTCTTCAACTTGCTCAGAAATGAGTGAAAGTCCTGCCGTCCGTTCTACAAACCGCAGCAACTCAGTTTACATACAGATCAGCTCGAGACATTGGTACAGGAACCACAATGCTCATTATGTTTCAGGAGACGATTTTCTGAAGATCTAGCCCTGTAGGCAATGTCCCTCATAGAAGGAGTTGTTTTGAATTGATTTTTAGCTGTAGCTGAGATGTTTGCACCCTGAACCACAATGCTCATTATGTTTCAGGAGACGATTTTCTGAAGATCTAGCCCTGTAGGCAATGTCCCTCATAGAAGGAGTTGTTTTGAATTGATTTTTAGCTGTAGCTGAGATGTTTGCACCCTGGGCCATTTGAACACTGTGACCAGCTGCATACAACATTCCGCTAGATCAGTTCTGCTTACGAGACGCTTTCTCTCGAGGTTTCTGGTATTGCCTCAGAAATGTGTGAAAAGCCTTCCGCACGGTCTAGAGAAAGCAACAGCTCTGTTCAACTACATCTTTTGGGTGGGACTGTCATACATGGGGAGAAATTTTCCCGCAACTGAAAGCTTTCAAAAGCTCTGCATGAGCCCTCATCTGGAGACAAGTTCAGCAAACTGTACGGAGTTTGCCCATATGCGACTTAACAAACTGTGGCTAGCTAGAAACACTTCATTCAAGATTCCCCTACAGCACTTTTGATTACATCCGTGCCCAGTCTGTCACAGAGGCCAAGGGGGTAACTGTTACCCAGAGTGCGAGCCCCCTGTCAAGGGTCCAAATCTGTCGGTGGGGGCACAAAGGCGGAGTGTAGAAGAGTTTTTATTTACAACTGCTGTAATTGTTTCATCTCTCCCTGCCAGCCCCTCCCTACCGTAGATCACGATCGACTGGTGGATCGCGAGGCCTTGACCAGTTAATCGCGAGGCATTCGGGTTCCCCCCACCCCCTATTTTCCCCCAACCCTGTGAAGCCCCACTACCTACCTCCAGCGTAGTATCAGCTTCCCGCGGGGTGGACGGAAGTCCCTGCC